TAACTGAGAATTTGTTTTTTGAACACTCTAAAAGTGTGAAGGCGCACGTTCTCAAATTCGTTTTTGTTGTTTCGCCGATAGAAGATGATAAAACGTGAGTCTAGGTGATAAGTTACCCGCAAAACAAAGGCTTTGTAGACGTTTCACACATACTCTGATTTTGCGTGTGTGACCGGACGAATCGCCCCCTGCCCGACCCACGTAAGATACCACCTCCTTTACAATTTTTGGACATAGTTGTGGCGGCACTCTGAATTATGCTATCCAACTTATAGTCTCAACCCATTAAAGTTTACTAGAAATTTATGATGCCTTTAATTATATTTTCCTACTATTTACTGACTCCATACACTTTCACAACGATACCTAATGTCTACGTCATCCTGCCTCTATAGAACACTTAAACAACGAAAAAAAGTTAATTTACTTGCCATAACATGTTATAAGGTGCTCAGTGAGATAAAGCTGCCTTGTGAGACAAGTAACCTTCTCCTTGATCGATCCTTCTCAACTTTCAATTTCTCCAGTCTATTTATCTTTCAGAAATCAATCTTCTTAATACCTTTACTTGTTTTCTTTCGGCGTACCATGCTAAAAATATATAGTGTAACCACCTATTTTACAAATAAGATAACTCCTACTATGTGGCCTAAGGAACTAAGGATATTCTGTCTGAAAGTCGCGACACTGCCAGACTGATTTATCACAGTTTTTATCGCTGTCCATATTTGTCATCCACATTAGATGATAGAAGTTCCATCCGAAATGGTTATCTGAATGCCGAAGAATTAGTCGAGTCACCTAGACTGGTGGCCACATTGCAACTCGGTCTATAGTATTCGATCTGCACTAAGAGGGAAATGACACACGTGGCACTGATCACCACTCAGTGATCAATCAATTGTGATTACATCTCAGTCCTTAAGGAGATCGTTCGTGGCCCGGATAGCTCAGTGGTAACGTCTCTGACTGTGAAGCTGGGTGACATGGGATCAAATCCGTCAGAGAGCACCAGTTCCCTCAAGAAAACAGGTACACCTTACTGATGAGTGCCAAGTAGCATGAAAACCGGGTCCAGAGTTTCCTGTTGACTACCTCCATCCACCATCTAATTACAAGTTATCGTCCCGTGAGAATTTTTTAATGAAAAAATCACATGTTCAAAAGTATAAGAAAGGAGTCCTACAAATCTCGCTTCAGAATGTTCTTGAATGTTTAGGACGACTGTTTTTACTCACTTAGATCTGATAACTTCCAATCGCTAATATGTGTATAAATGGAACTTTTTGAGTTGTCTCTACGAAAAGGAAGTCAAGGATGTAGCATTGTACATTGCAACAGTTCAAAGTCAGATAACACCAAAGGACTCCGATCATAACTATCACACAATGATAAACAAGAGGATTATTACTGACATATCAAACGTTTCCCAACACTTTCGGGACCCATTTGGGCTTTTCGGGTAGTTTTGTGGATCTCTCCGATAATTGTGGAGAGAAATACGAGTATAAAAAGTATTTTTAAACAAACTCCGTAAACCACAGTCAAACCGGAAGCAAATATATCGATTTATGCTATAAAATACAAGGATCATTCCTCGTCACTGAACCCTTAAACACCCGAAGCCTTAGATACGCGGATTGAAAATAATTAGCTCACGTCCTCATTACACACGAATGTATGGGTGTGTTCGACGCTGGAATCATTAAGGAGTGTTATCTAAGTAGTATCTGCTCAGTGAACAACTCTCCAGTTATTACGACAGCAATTAAGTCAAAAAACCGATTTCAGAATAAATAAAGGGGGAAAAGGGAGTTTTAATGCATGGGATACAATGTGGGAACTAAATAAAGCATAACTGTTGAAATGAAGTATATCTTTGTTTTTAAAGGGAATCGAACTTTGGAAATGACTTTGAAATGTTTGGGGTCCTTTGTATGATTTTCATAAAGAGATTTAAAATTTTGTGAATGTTTCTGGGCAAAAACCTACACCTTTCTATTTTGTTTGTCAAAGAAACGTGCACGACGGTGTACTCTGAGGATATTGTTATTCGACTTTGTTGTTCTAAGATGTTCTTGACAGTTGAATTAAAGGATGTTAATCTCCAAGTCCCTTAGATCCATTTTGACGACAATAAACACTCCACTTGGCCTGTTTAAGTACGGCTTTCTTCCATTTGGTATAAGTTGTCGCTCAGCCATATTACAGGAAGTGATAAACATGTTAGTCAGTGATCTTAAAGGCGAAGAAGCTTATCAAAATTCAAATAGTCCAAATGGTCAGGAACAGAATAGATGAAGCTTTCGCTTAACTGGCTTCCGCGTCTAGTAGCAGTGGATCACCAAAACCTCCAGGCAGGAACCTAGGTATCCTAGTAAATGTTCATTTTGTTCACGTACTTTTGAACGTCTTGGACGCGTAGTCGGAAGTAACGATTTTAAAGCTCCACTAAAAAATGCACCATCCCCAAAGAATCTTACAAAACTGCATTCACTAGCGGGCGCTCTTTAATACAATTCCCGTTTTATTAACAATTTCTCTTGTGCTAATTCTTTATTTCAAATCTTGACATCGAATCCGTTTAAGTGAGGTAGGGAACAAGAGTCATGCATGCGAACCGTACCAAAGTATCTTCGGATTGATTCTGTTGTCCGGACTTACCTCCTAGTTTACATTTTCTGCTTATTACTGATGCAACACCTATGTATATTGGTGCAGTTTTGGAGCAGGATGGTGGCTCTACAATATATGTTTCACTTGAACGTACAGAACCAAGTTATTCACAAACTCAATAAGAAGCATTAGATGTGTTTTGGGCCACGAAACGACTTCATCAGTATTTATTTGGAAAGAAGTCCACTATTGTTACAGACCATGAAGCACTGGAGTTCATTTATCATCCCGGAAAATCCTTAGTACACTTCACAGTCGCTATGGTTCAACGATGGATTATTGCTTTTAGTGCCTATGACTATACGGTTCGGCAAAAAAGGCTGAAAAAACTCAACATGTTGATTATATATATCTGCAATCATTACAAGATAAGCCTCTTAATACTGCATACTGTTTTTCAGTGCAACCTTTACCAGTGAGACGTCCAAATCTCATTAGAGAATTTCGCCAATATTTGAGATGTAAACTCAATTCTATACGAAAAGGTTAGAACGCTAATCTGAAACGTAGATTTCCTGCCTATTTTTTCTAAGCAAAATGAGTCAACCACTACTGATGGTATTTTGTATTTAGATGATCGTGTTGTTATTCCCCCTTCATTGTATAAATCTGTCGTTGAAGGTTTTCATGGTGAACATTTACGTGTTGACAAAATGAAGCCCTTGGCAAGGCTCACATGTTGGTGGTTAGAGATAAATAAAGATATATGTCATACAGAAAACAATTTTGAAAAATGTCATAAGCTGAAAAATCAGCCTTCGAAGTAGACTCCATGACCAGTATTGCTTGAGACCTGGCAGAGAATTCATGCAGATTACTGTGGTTCATTTCATGGCAAACAATATGCACTTGTAGCTATTGATTCTTTTTCAAGGTGATCTGAAGTTTTTTCGCAACTTCACCAAATTCTGACCCATCATTTCAAACATTAAGAGAGGTGTTTAGTCGAGATGGGGTTCTCATGGTGTTAGTGACCGATAATGGCACTCATCTTACTGCGGATGCAGTCACTCGCTGGTTGAGTGCTATAGTGTGCAGATATCTGTTTACTGCTCACAGACACCCTTTTCATAATGGTTAGGCAGACAATTTTGTCAGGACGTTGAAGATTGCTACTAATTCCATTGCCGCTTCAATATTTGACGAACTGGAGATGGCAGTAAACATATTTCTACTGCAATATAGAAACGCTAAACATCTAATAACGAAAGAGACCCCATAAAAGATATCAAAAGGAAGGATTGTTCGTTAGAATATGAAGTGTTTAGAGTTTATAGAAGTTACTTATTATCATGGAAATGACCTTCGACCAACCATGGGGATTATCGTGTAGAATGTTGGAAAACCTATTGTCCGGATCCTACATATCAATAATTCAAGTACATATAAACGACATGCTAATCAAATGCAATTCCAGAAACCAAGTGAGTATGTACCAATCTCAGTTGTTAATTCTAATACAAATGAGTACATTCTAACTCATACAGAGTTTACATCCAATACACAATCTGATAAACATACGATTAACCTTGGAAGTAAAATTGATCACAAAAATTGGGATTCTCATTTATGCTGTGGTGGTTGTGTTACTTGTACGAACTAATGACTCTTTTGTACTTGATTGTCCATTGATTATGAATTCTAAATACAATACATTTATATGTATTCATCTATTCCAATCTGGCTTAAACTGCACTGTTTGGAGAATTCCTAGCTAGTAAATTTATTCTAAGACTTCTAAACATCATATAGGTCCAAGGCATCCATTTTATTCCGTGTGGTTCCTTGAAATAAAGAGGTCTTCCAAATCCAATAAACTACCAGAAGGAAGATAAAACGCGAGAGTAAGCAACATTCTTTGACTACAGTCTTCATTTAGAACGCGACTGTGACCTATTCCAACACACGAATTTGCAATTCAGTTCGTCCTCGGGATTTCGTATGATGTTTAAAATGGATTGGTGGTTTGTCTTTCCCATAGTTCTTGTGTGACGGTTCTTTTTTGCGAAATGGTGTTGCTAACCCACTGAATAGTCAAATGTTGCGATCAATGAAGCAGATAAAGAAGATGAGGTAAGTACCGATATATTCAAAATCACGAGTAGCTTCATCATGTCTTTATTATCGTTATGGGGAACGAACATTGTACGACTGATTGGCGTACACATGACGGCGAATATCAATACAGAAGTGTGTACAATGTCACAAAGACAAGGAAGGATCACAATTTCGTTTACTCGTGTAAAATGCCTGACTTTCTCTCACTGTGATGTTTCACATGAATTTTAACTAATTAAATACCAGGTAGTACGACAGTTACATGTTTCCAGTTTCGTTGACCTTGAGTAAACTCATATATATTGGGCATTGAGTGCGGATTCTTAGTATTTTTTTGGTGTGGATGAACTCCTCTGTCCTTGATAACGGCAACCATTCAAACGGTCGAATCCACGACATGTCTAGTAACATAATGAAGTCTGACTCTGTTGTGGTTAGCGTGGTCTTTTTACTAATTTCTTCAGATAGATGACAACTTTCGAGGATTTCCCACGGAGTATTTCTGCACATCTCCTCGGTATGACGGGTGCTTAGAATATGTTCTAATACCAAATGGCATGATAAAAGATAGGTAGATCATGAATTTGAGATAAGTATTTTAAAGGCTTGAAAAAATGTCAATGGATATTGTTGATTATTACGAGGCTTGCAATGCGACATCGATCACGCTTATGTGTGTTCTCAAAGGTGGATTTAAATTCCTTGCAGATCTTGTTGATGGAATTGAACGCACTATCCGTGCTCGAGGTATCGTCCTACCAATGTCCGTTGAGTTTGTTCGTGTTAAGAGTTATGTTGTACGTTAACAAATAAAACATAATTTCCCCGAAATTCACCAGAATGATGTCAGTATTCATGAGCCTATATTAACAGGTTTAGGAGATCCTTCAGAATACAAAGATAAGGTATTTTAAAACCTAATGATATATTTTGTAAGAATGTCCTTGTCGTCGAAGATATAATTGACACAGGAAAAACAATAACGAAACTTATAAGTCATCTGGATAATTTGTCTACGAAAAGTGTTAAAGTCGCGAGGTATGTTTTGTAATATTTTCAGCTTTCCAGTCTTATGATATAAAAGTCGTCTCTTTATGTATCGTACTTTTTATTAGTCCTTTATTTTAACTTAAGATCGTTGTCCGGAATCTTTGGTGTTCCCGATCCACTTGGATAACATTGACTCACTTTTTTGGATTAAGTTTGAAATTAGCGGACTTGATTAGTTTACAATAATTCATATGTATTAGCTGGAAAATGTTGGTACTAGTAATTATTACGTGGTAGTTAGTATAGTCAGTGTTTGTCGTATGTTTATAAATCATGGGACCTCGTTATCCAGTACTCACTTACTGTAATACCCCGGACATTAAGATGTGTGATATGAAAATTAACTGTCAAATCTATTTTTCTTGTTATTTATAACCCCAAGTTGCATCACTGTTTACTTTTTTCTAAATATTAGTTCCAAAATGTTCGTTGTATTTTGTGGTCTTACCGTTTTGATAAAATATGACAGATTTTGTGGTATGCGTATTTATGTAGCATATCTCGGTTCCTTAAGTGTTTTGTATTATGTACTACTACATTTCGTAAAATCAACCCCATGTCCTCTTTTGAGTTCACCATATGCTTGTACCTTATCTAATATTTGAAACTTAGAGCTAAATTAATTTGCGATTAGTGAAGAACTATATTACTGTCAGTCACATTATGGTTTACGAGTTTAGACTCAAGAATCATACTGGTAATTTCGTATGAACCGAACTCATTAGTCTCTAGTCTGTTCACAAAAGGTTGCTAAATTTTGAGATGGTGGAGGTTTGTTGATCAGGCAGATGATTTAGTGAGACTAATTTATGGACGACCTTTGAGCGACACTAAAAAGACCTTGGAAATATCCACCTACATACTACGGTTAAATGAGGGTTGTTAACTAGTGTGATGAATTAGGACTAATATTTACAGTTGACAGTTAGGGTTAGCAGTTAGATATAGAGTTCATCACAGACTGACATCAGCTATAATGCAAAAACTCCATTTAGCCAGATAAATAAAGTAATTTAGCGCAAAAATTCAAGACCTGTTGTCGTAAATCTGATTGGTTCGTCCACATATAGTCTTGCCGATGATTTTGGTGGAGTTTTGTCCTCTGAGCTGGATGGTTTGATCGTCGAACTATCATCGTTCTTCCGAGTGACATCAAAAACTTCAGGTATAAGTGGTCTTTGAAGTTTGTGCTGGTAATGTCACTCAGAAGAACAATGATAGTTTCACGACCAAACCATCCAACTCAGAAAACAAAACCACCAAAGGTTGCTGAATTTATCAGAAGTAAAAGTGACACGATAATTAGTAAGTGAACGGAGACTAAGTTTCACTAATTTTTATAAAAATCAGTGTTTTTACCAAATTTTTCATCATGAGATTTCCGAAATCTGTTTTCTTTAGCCTTCTCGTCAAACGAACATCACCCAGGAATAAATACCGACCAGACTGTAAGTAAATTTTTATAACTTACTAGGTTCAATTCTTTCGTTTAAGCAAAATCATCCAATCTTGTTAACATACAGACGTAATGGAAATATTTCAATAGGCCGATGTTGTATAATATGTATTATCACTCACGTTTGCGACTTATATCACCCACTGTTAATATTTCTTTACAGAGTCAACCAAGTAAGCCGTACAGTAAGTTTATTGCTCGGTGATCCTAGCAGATGCGAGCAATATTTCTAAGGCGTGGTCAAATACTAGTAGCTTACGAGTATCTTCTAACCTTCCTTAATGGCCACGTTTCGCAGTCGTGAAGTAGAACAGAACAAACTGTTGCTCAGTATACTCGTCCCTTAATTGATAGATGGATATCTCGCCTCCGTCATAGGTGACGTAAGTTAGCAAAAGCCAAATGAGCTTTTCGAATCCGTGCTGAGATTTCGTCAGACATCACCCCATGAAGGTTGATCAGACTTCTAAGATAAGTGAAGTTGTCAACGCGTTCAACTACTTCACTCTTGATCCTTAGTTCGGGTGTTGACACAGACCAGTCCTGAACCAACAACTTGCATTTAGAGAGGGAGAAGCGCATTCTAAACATCCTGGCATTGATGCTCAGTGTTACCAACAAACACTGTATTTTATCAGTGTCTGCACCAAACTGGACTTTATCATCTGCGTGCTCTAAGTCAAGTGGACCTCTTGGTAGGAGATCAATGCCCGAAAATTCGGTCGATGAGAGCATTGTTTCCATCAGTATGTCTATGATGAAGCTAAACAAAAATGGAGAAAGTGGGCAGTCTTGCCAGACACCACTTGAGGTTGCAAAGACAGATGACAGTTCGCCGTAAGCTCTCACTCGACTAGTAGTGTTCGAGTAAAGAGCATTCACAAGGTTTATGTACTTCTGAGGTGCGCCTTTCAATGTCACACACTGTCAAAGAACCTCTCCGTTCACAAGGTCAAATTCTGCTTTTAAGTCAAGAAAAACTATTATTGTCGGACGCCGATAAGCATACCTGTGTTCTAGAACCTGGCGAACGGTGAATATGTCGTCGATGCAGTCATGGCCAGGTCCGAAGTTATTCTGGTGTTCTCGTGTTTGCAGTTCACGAGTCTTTGTTAAGCGTACGATAATTATTAAGGCTGATATTTCAGATGCTATATTAGTCAAACTAATCCCTCTATGATTGTCAAAGGATGATTTTGACCCCTTCTTATGTATTGGGACAATCAGTGATTGCAACCAGTTAGATGGGATTACATCCAACTCCCAAATTTTAGCTAAAATATTTGTCAGTCTAACTGTAAAAACTGGACCACCATCCTTAAGGACCTCTGGAGCCAATACATCTGGGCCAGCTGTAGCTTTCTGAACTTCAGCTAGCGTCGGGGGACCTACTTCCATGCTCCATTCAGACTGTTTGGGAATGGTATGTAGTTGTAGAGCAGCTGAACTGCTCCTTAAAGTTTTCCGCCCATCGTTCTAAACGTCTGGGCTGAGAGGAGATGAGAGTGTCGTCTTTTTCCGAGATCGTCTTCCTTGCACTTAAATTCTTAATTCCAGTTCCTTTCACTAGTCTGAAAAGCTGTCTGGTGTAACCTACAGCCGCCGCCTTTTCCATTTCTTTTGCTTTCGTCGCCTACCACTGCTTACGGTCGTTTGTTAGACTTTCGCTTAACCTAGATCTGACTTGTTTTCGATCATCATCGTGTTCAGAGCCTGATGGGATGAGTTTACGAGAGTCTATCAGTGCTATAGACTTAGTAGAAATCCACTGGTTTTTCGTGACCCTTTGGTTCAAATCACTAGTCGATGTTGCTGCTGTTTCCACAGCTGTTCGTATATCTTTCCAAGAAACATCTGGGTTAGCCTCGTTTTCAGAACTTCATATGTGTGACCCCAGCTGTTCCTGGAATCTACTTTTCGTTTTCTCGTAACTGAGTTCAACTCGAATGGGTTTTAATGTGGCTTTTCTTCATTCAGTGAGGCACAAGCAAATATGTGCCCATATTAGAGCATGATCGGAGTCTAAACGTGTACTCTAGAACGAGCGGCAGTCTTATATCGCCCCTCTCCAACGATCACTGATGGCAATATGGTCTATTTGAGTCCATCGTTGGTTTCGTGCAGGTGGTCGCCTTGTTAGACGATGTCTCTCTTTATGCTTAAAATTAGTGCTTGCTAATAATAAACTATCGTCTGAGCACAGTTGCAGCAGACGATCACCATTATCTGTTCGCTGAGCCAGAATACTAAAATACCCATCTAAATGTCTTTCTGTTTGGTTTGAGCTACCTGCCTAGGCATTAAAGTCACCTGTTACGGGTACTATGTCTGTTTTTACGCTTTTTCAAAAATTTCAAGAAGTTTCCTGTAAAAGTCATCTTTCACTTCATCCGGGCTGCGGTCAATCGGAGCTTAGGAAGAAACGGCGAAAAGGCAACGAATGTATCCCCATCCTTACGAGTTCTTACAGAGCCGTTTAGCCGAACAGCAAATAGACGACTGTTAATAGGGATCCATTCTAATGGTGCTTGTTCGGCTCTCGTACTTAGTCCTATGCCTACATCCACCAGTCCACGAGAACTGGCCATCGGGTCGCCAGATACACGGAGGGTGTATCTCGTCGGCTCTTCGTTTTGGTGAGGTAAGGTCAAGTGAATGACCACGCTAGGATCCTGTATACGTTTTTTGGAGACACAACATGCATCAATGGTACGAGATTCTAGGGTTTTAACCAAGGAGGCCTGCTGGCCGATTTGACATAGGGTGTGTACGTTGAAGGCTCCGATGTGTAGTTTGGAGCGGGGTTTCAGTAGACCCGGGACAGTGTTTCGCACATTAGAATTGTTAGCAATAATAACACTTTCGGAGGAAGTTTGGATTTGAAAGTCGAGGTAGGAGGAATAATAGGGATGGAAGATGAAGATTGATTATGAATACAGTGATCTTGAGTGCTGTTAGAGGTATGGGGGCGTTTGTCACTTCCCGGTTGCTCACGCCGTGGTAGGATTCTTTTGGAGGTACCTGAAAAGGAAGTTGGATTAGAGGTGGTCTTAATGATTTGAGAGCATGACCGCAGTGCCCAAGGGACAACTGCTTGAGATCGGTCACACACGATCTTTTTGTGAGTAATTTTCGTATTAGCTCCGTACTTGTTGGGACCTTACCACTCGAGACAGAAATCCGTGGGATAAAGTGAGGTGTGCATTTTTAGTATCAACCTTTTCTAACCCCACCCTTCCTTGTGGGAAGTCAGCATCGCTGTTATGCTGGTTGTCTGAAGGAGACACTTTACCACCGTCACATCTCTGTACAGTCAGCAGCACGACTTCGCCCTCGGACCTTGGCTTTGCTACTTTTAGTCTTACCGTTCTTCAACCGACCTGTCTGGCATGTTAGGATCTTGATGAACGATTGTTACAGCCAGTATAGCTTGATCAGTTCATCACGATAGGCAAGCCCGACCACCAAGTCACAGTAGCAGCAACGGTCGGCAGTTCATTAAGGCTGTACGTTTAATCGACACTCTTGGATGTGGATTAGTTTTTTATTGATGAAAGTAATCAACCTTTACTCAGTAAGTTACAGGTTTGAAAACACTAGCTCTCACAAAAAATAAAAGGTGACCTAAAACATTCCATGAATTTGCGTCGCAAACACTCAAACCGTATGTAACCCTAGATAATGCTTCGATATGTGTTCAACATGTGATAGTTATCTGACAATAATGAGATAGAACTTGTTGGAACGGTATGTACTTTCTAAGTGTCTTATAAAATGTGACATCACATTGTGCTCGATAAAACTCAATTCATATCAAGTAATTCTGCTAGTATGGTAAGTCAAGTGGTTTTGTTGCCATTGTATCAACGTAGTAAGTTGATTTTCGTAACTGTTTAAGTTTTCCGAATTGGGTTTGTATACATTTCAAGGTTCTTAGCAAAATTGACTTTTAGTGTTTATGAAAAGTATGAACCTCTTGACTCTAGTTAGAAAGGATTTATACCTGTATTATATAATAGTGGATCCTTGAAGCATTGTCCAACCTTTGATATTTTACACTTTACTACTTTTTAGTGAGATTCTTATCAGTTCGACATATCACTTTAAATGTTTTAACTTTTCTCTCGGGTTCGCAATCATGCTTATTCTTTAAACCTACCAGTTCAGAGGACGAAATTCCACTAGAATTATTCTTTGTTACATTTTCGTGTAGATTTGGAAGTTTCTATAGGAAAGTATGATATTCTGTATAGATTTTTCTTATCGTTGCCCCACTGTTTTTTCTGTTTGATCCTTAGTTGTTGGTTTTGAAGTTCCAAATCGATTTGTTGTTGGCTATGCTTTAGACTATAATGATAATTTCCGTGACCTTCACGTGAGTTACCGTCTGCTACATCAACTTATTGAAGTTTTTTTGCTTATTTTGCTGAGTACTTTTTGTGAAGTTATAAATAAAATGTCACGTGAATTTATGTAATGAGTATTTGCAAATTGGTTTATAGGCAATTAGACAACTAGTTAGTGGCATATCTCATTCATTTTGTTTACGACATACTTTGCATCTCAAGGCTTAGTAACCTTTTTCTGAAATATATTTGCTACAAGTAAACAAAACGGATGACCTGTGGTCATTATACTGATGTGGTACGGCACGGCTTTTTGTAAATATTGGCTGTTTGGGAACTATTTTTAAAGTCATTGATCCAACTAATACTAGATTTCAGTTTTGATATTTTTACTATCCTTAACCACTATTATACGTTAGTTCAAACTCATTACTTTCAGCAGACGGTGTGCACTGGCGTATTTTATAAAGGATTTACATAACCAGATTATGTTAATTAGACCATTCTCATTACCGAGAAATTCTCAAATTATAAGTGGAGAATCGTCATCTCTGATCAGCAAATCACCAAACCCATGAATAGCATGTTTATTTCCAGCAATACTCAAAATAAGAACTCTAGTATGTCTAATAGCGGGACTTAATGACTAAAGTATCATTGACAATGAAATCATGAAAGAAGTCACTAAACAAATATGATTGCTTCTTATTGTGAAATAAGTTTCTGGGTTTTGTAAACGAAGAAAACGTCTGTTTCTTATTAGTATGATGATCATTTATCAAACTTAAATAACGAGGCTTATTATTACATACGATAAAATAAGTTGTAAAACACAAACTTTGTATCCAACCTCAAAAGTACTATGGACTAGAATAACTAAGAGATCATTATCGACTACAAATCTCGTTCATTTACTGCCTTGTAGTTATTACATACATCTCTAACCTCCTGAAATGAGCATTTAAATATTTTTATTAGTTCTCTTTCGAGATTTAATGTGTTTACTTCAGCAATAGTTCGATCACGCGATCGAATATCCAGTTGTTCTCCAAAACGGGATCTTGTGCTCTTTTTTAAAGTTCAAGTATGATACCTCTGTCTAATCACTTTGAAAAACCATTTTGTGGCATCTTGGCATCCAGTGTTTTTCTTCACACGACTGAATAATATGTACTCATAGATTCTATGCCACAATGAGATAGATTTATCAGATTAAGGTAGGGTTTTCAGCAGACTATAGACATCTTTTTCGGTCAATGTAGGGAAATAAACTGTAGTTTTACCATCTTAGATGCCTTTCTCGTCATGCCATAGATTTCAAATAATTCCGTTTTATCTCTAATTACTTTCCAGTAATGTCCAGTAACTGTCTTCATTGTGAAGCCAGTTCTGATAATTGATAGTATTGAATGTAAGGTACACACTAGCAGTTCCCAAACCTATCCATAACATTCTGTAATATTTACGAATAGCCCAGCACTCAAGTAAGGGAGAAGGTCGTCAACACACAAAGATATTGTACCGTAATTAGAACAATGTGCATAATAATGTACAAAGCCTTTGCCATTTCACAGATACAATACAGAATTAGCTTACATCAATTAGCATTTAGTATTTGGGCCTTATTCGTAACTATTATATTTTTAGAGAACCACAGGAAACTGTGCACTTGTACTTGAGTCAACAATTTTTTTCCGACGATCCTCCTTGTCATCAACTCCATTGGGAAATTCACGCGTAAAATCAGTCTTTGTCACCAAAACACATATGTGCGTGGATAAATGCAGTAACTTGGAATTACCATCATAGGTTTTTGTTTATTATTATTATTAGCTCGATTTAATATTACATGTTTTGGTACAATATAGAATTCTCAGCACGAAGTATTTCAACAAATTTCCATTTCTCACTTATTGATCAATCCTGACGATAAATATTGAGTGATCACCAGTTAGAAGTTAGCAATCCAGTCAATCGACATTTAAATAATGTACATTCTTTTCGCTGTATATTGCCAACAATCATGATATCTCTGATTAGACCTTTTATAATATGTACAACGAAAGGTTGTACACTTTTCAGAAACGCACTTGAATAGGTTATACGATTAATAGTCATAATGATGTATTAAAACAAACAGAATTAGATAACTTGTTGAAATATTTGAATAGTAGAAATAGGTAGCCCAGATCTTCAAGCATGACTATTATAATTTCTAGATTCTGTTTACATAAAACTTAGGTAAAGTATTATTGAAGTAATTTTAAGAAATGTTTCTTTGAAAATTATTGATTTACTTATGTTGAATTACCTCTTTTTTTGTTTTTCCACATCATTCAGCATATTTGCGTGATTAATGAAGTGGGTCAGAAAAAATTCTCTGTACCATGTACATCGAAATCTATTTAAATGTGTTTTATAACTGGTAATTAACAATAAACTACATAGACAGAATTTCCTCATCATGGACATTCTGTAAATAATTTATCAATATCATATAAAATAGTAACTTGATTATCTTTAAGATGAAAAGATAACAACAATAACAACGTCTTCTACACTTTCGTTATCCTTATCTTTACTATACTATACTATAGTATATATATCGTTAGTCTGTACCTGTATAATCGACATATCTTAATGATATATATATATATATGTTATTACTACGAAACCGATTTATCCGCATTATATTCTTAACTTATTTTTTTCCCTTTATTTATAAGATCATATTTGGCACACAATTGTTTTGTTGTTGTTGTTGTTCTTTTCTTTTCTTTTCTTCTTTAATCCTTTCATTTACGTTTATCAATTGGTGAATTTAATTGGCTATTTATCTTACCGTTTTATTTCTCTCCACTTTTATTATATTAAAATATTTCTTCAGAAGAGATTTTAATGTTTAGTTGACGAATAATGATAATTAATTTTTCAATGTTGTTATTTGTTACTTATTATAATATTTTAGTATTATTGTTATTATTTAAATGTATATTGGTTAAAATAAAACTAAGATCAAATGGAATAATTGTCTTCATTTTGTATATGTCTTATAGAATTCTTTTAATAGGATTAAATTGAGTCAATTTAAGTTCATTTAAATGAAATAATAAAGTTGCCTACTGAATCTAAACTCAATCAATTTTTAAGATGGTGATTGGAGGTGGTCAACAGGAAACTATGGATTCGGGTCTTGTGCTACTTGGCCGAGCCTTCGACCTGAAGGTCTGATCCACAAGGCAATGGAGCATCGTAAGGAGATGTAGTCCCATGGTAGCTAGTGACCAACGATTGGTTCATACGCCATTTGTTCCTTTAGGATACTGGAGCCCATGTGCACCATTGGTTTGGAATCCGGTTAAAGCGCCGGACATTCGCTTTTCGTCCTCTCAATTTGGTAAACAACACCGCCGCAGTGAGTAGGACTTCCTTGGCAGAGGCTGTATACGCGTGGCCATGTGAGAGCGTTTCGAGAGGGAGGGCGTGCCCGCCCCACTCTCGGCCATACCAGGGTATTTGGTCGCAGTCAACAGGAAACCATGGATTCGGGTTTTGTGCTACGTGGCACTCGTTAGTAAGGTATACCTGTAATCTTGAGGGAACTGGTGCTCCATGACGGATTCGATCCCATGTCACCCAAGCTTCACAGTCAAAGACATTACCACTGGGCTATCCGGCCCTCGACTGACCTGCTGTAGGACTGAGATGTTTTTTACAATTGATTGATCAATGGGTGGTGATGATGGATCTATGTACAGGTTTGTTTTTGGTTGTCTACATAGAATATATGTCGTAGTGTTATACGTTTTAAGCATAATAATTCCGCTTACCTGTTTTATGAGGTTATATAACCTTAGTGTGATAAGTCCACTATAGAATACATCTTTTAAGTCTAAGGGATTAACTTTTAGAGTCTATATAGTCGTAGAAGAAATTTATTTTAAGTTCTAATCGTTCAATGAAATTCGAATAAAATCTGTTTCAGTATTTATCTGATTGAATATAGAATATTTCACTATAATAATTCTGGAGAATCTAATCATTGTATAGAAAATATCTGCAACAATGATACATATATTACGATTGAAGAGAAAACTTCAGTCATTCAAATTGAAATGTTTGTAATTTTTATCAAACAGTCATGCTATGAAGCGAGTTTATGTACCATAACCATTCTAAAGAGTTAGGAGAAATAGTCATTGAAATACACTTTGAATTTGAATTCTCACTTATTTAATAACAATATTTAGTAGTAACAAAACGTCCGTTTATAAACCCACATTATTCAGTTTATTCAAAGTAGAAAAAATCATGTTAGAATGAAAAATAGCTACTGAATCACGTAAATTATGATGTATGTACTGGCTAAATACGATACCATAATATTGGTACTGATGTGTAAAGTGATATTTAGTGAAGATAGACATACAGATACTGTGACTTCTTGAGATCATATAATATTGTAAGTTTTTTCAGTTGTCAATCTCTATTCTAGATTCATTTTAAGTTGACGGCTTGGTATTAATAGGCTATTGTCTGATTCATATTTGCTTCTCAATCGTTGGTCAGACATTGAGCATTTTAGTCACTCGGTTTAGCAATCTATCGAATCAAGCTCTATTATCTTATTTCTTGTTGCCCCCCCCATTGAGGCCACTCACTAGTTTTTATTAACTAGATGTCGAATCTAGGATCGTATCCACTGACAAATCCTTTCCTATATTTTATCAGATACATGCTGGTTATTTAGCTTAATTGGTTAAAAATTCATGCAAACTAGAAGTACTGTCATTCAAATATTAAAAGAGTAATATTCTCAAGGTGGATATAAAGACAGGTTTCAAAGTCGAATACAAAAAATATTGAAAGTCATTCATCTTTGACAGCTTGCATTTTGCAACACAAACCTACATGTCTCATACAAAGTCAGAATTCAATGTTTTACATATTCAAGCTTTATTCAGTAAATCTAGTGAAATCGCCAACCGATGTCTTTAGTGAGAAACCAACTCTCGCTCCGGATATTTTTCTAGATTCAAGTAAACCAACTGGAATATCAGTTATCTATCATCCTATGGTTTTGTTTTCAATTATTCATTAGATTGTGTCTGTTTGTAATTGATGGAACTTTGGAAATGTTGACATCTTCAAAAGTCTCATAAAGTCAGCGTTATGAATCTTCATTTCTATTGTAAAGTTATGTTATTCTGTAATATATAATCCATTTAATGGTTGTACTTTAAGAATTATAATGATTTGTCTCTACATTATTGTCAGTACTTTGTTCAGGTCTTAAGTGAGGCTTAAAGCCCATCAGTTATCGAATAGAACGTGACCATTATGCTACGTTGATTTCATTATGGTACTGTATTAGTGAGTTGATAAACACTGTTTGTTACTTATATTTTCGACAAAGTAATTTGTATACCTATTAAATAATTTATTTATACTTTTCAGTTTTACTAAGTTTTGTTAGAGATCATTGTTATGACAGATCCATTCAGTTAAGAGGGTTTGAATATATCTGGAAACACACATTTATCCGTTACTGAAACAGTATGCTGATAAGCGCTAACCAATAGAAACCTTATAACTTCCTGAAGTTTGAAAATAACTAATCGAAATAGGAATCTTCTAGATCCCAATACGTAACAATAGTTATTTGATTTTTAATAAATGATTAGTTACATCATCAATTATCATCTAGCACACCGTTTAATGAAGAGGCATTATGTTCGACAGCTGGGTAAATCAAACTAACAGTGCATACAATGTCAATAAAAATCATAGTCAAACACTGGAAAGTGAGATTATACTTAAAAAAGAACTAATAATGAATAAATTAATTCAACTGTATTTAAATAACGTTCTAGTAAATACTACCTAATATTCGGCAGTAGAACAAACTGTGCTCTGTTCCATATTGAATATTTACATATAACTTCTCGACGTGGTGATCACTACTTTCAGAAGCGATAAAGATGATGTAGTCAAGCTTGTTGAGTCTCAAACAAAATTGTGAATTCATTATAAATTGATTTGTTTATGATTAACAGTAGTTTGTCAAACTAAAATGTAATTTACAAGCAAAGATGTATGGTGGCTAGTAGTGGAATCCAGGACGCACGTTTCATCCTATTTGGTACTCGTCAGCTGGATGTACCTGTATCTCAGAGTTGGGGAGGTTCGAACACTGTACCGTTCTCTTCAAACGCCATCACGTTATCCACTTAGCTACTGGGTTTGAGTCCCGAAGTAAACATTAACTGATGAGTCCCAACTAGGGTGAAACACGCGTCATGAATTTCACAGCTAGTCATCATCCATTTTTGCCTATAAATCTTGTGACTGAAAACAATCTTCACAAGATACACATATGCCAATAAGAGACTGATCAATTGCAGTCCTAAAACAACAATCGGAACATACAAACGAACAATACCAAGTAGATTTAAAATGCCATTCATTATTGTGTGTATGTATGTTTAATGCTTATGGTCAAGTTTATGCTTTCATCTTACATAATTGAGAGAGAGAGAGAGAGAAGAAAAAACAATCCCATCTATGGTAACTGAATCTAACACGTCGTCATGTAAAAAAGAAAAAGAATTCTATTCAAATACATGTAATAAATAATACTTTAATGGCATAGTTATACAATTTCAACTCTTAGTCAATAATTTTTTCTTCTTTCAAATTGTATATGTGTTTGTGTGTATATGTAAACCTGTAATAACTCTGCATAACTACTACAATTACCAAAAAAAAAAAAAAAGAGAACAATTTAGACACAGTTACACCATTTAATAAACATTTTATTTTTGGCATTTAAATTACGACGGAAAAATGTCTGATCACATGTTTGTTCTCTTTTTTTATTTGTAGAAAAAAAAAGAATTTTTACTCACATGGTTACAATCATTCAATTGAATTTAATGATTAATAATTGAATAATGAATATCTACATTTATCATTACCATTTAGTCATTTTAGTGCATTACAAATTGTGCTTTTGTTGTTGTTGTTGTTGTTGGTTAAGTGCTTTAAATGTAATATGCGTCACAGTAGATTGACTTTTAAATATAGAAACATAAAACAATTAGTGGAATCAATTGAATTTTGAGATTCATTCAAATTACTTATGATACATTGTGATTTATTGCGAAATAGGTCAAATTAATTATTATCAGTATATAGGGTTGTGGAGATTATGAAGTTTTTGATTGAGATTATAAACTAATTGATGTTAGACAATCATTGAAAAAAAAAACTAGAGGCACTAGATAGCTGTTTTTGTCCTATTGTTGAACTGTGTCACCAGTGTGCATTCATAATCACGTTCACGGGATTCGAACCTAGGGCCTTCAGTTCAGCGTGCGAACACTTAACCTCTAGACTACTGAGACGGTATCCAACGGTGTCAATATCTAACCTTAACCAATCAATGAAATTGCGCGACTATCTTCCATTGTACTGAGATTTGTACTTGTCTCTATATGACATAGATTAGCTCCACTGGTCACGGCTTATCACTAGAACTCAGAGAATTCCCTCACGTAGCTAGTCACCATTGAGCACATGGTAATTATCGGTATAGAGTTGTGGAGATTATGAACTGATTGATGTCAGACAATCATTGAAAAAACTAGAAGCACTAGATAGCTGTTTTTGTCCTATCGTTGGACTGCGTAAGCAGTGTACATTCACAATCACGTTCACGGAATTCGAACACAGGACCTTCAGTCTCTCGCTCATAGACGCTTATCCTCGAATCCTGAGAGCAGGATCGTGGATGGGCACTGTTGAGGAGTTCCACAATAGCACAAAACGGCCGTTCAGTGCTTCCAGGTTTTCAGTGGTGGTCTAACATCAATAGGTTCATGACTTTAGTCAAATTGGTTGTGCTGATGAATTCACAGTTGAATTCATAATTTGATATAAGGTAGATCACTAATTAAAACTTTGAAGCATTATAAAGCTGTTTATTCTTAGTATGGAACTCCTCATGAGTGCACATACACAAG